GTGTGTGTGTGTGTGTGTGTGTGTGTGCGTGTGTGCGTGTGTGTGTGTGTGTGTGTGAGAGAGAGAGAGAGAGAGAGAGTCGGGATCTGGTCTAGGTCAGTGCAAGCAGGTGAGTGGATTTTTGTAGTTTGGGTATGCAGGTTGCCTTTGTTTTGGCTGAGATAAAAAAAATTTGTCAACGAAGCCAACGAACCGTTTGGGTCCCGACATCGATGTTGATGTCATAATGAAGGTTAAAGCATAATGTATATGTTGATTGCTATGTTAGATTAAACACAGTGTACGGGTTTGGTGTGGGTTGCGGTCTTTGTTTGGATGATGGTCTTCGTATGGCTGTGGGTCAAGGTCTTGGTCATGATCCTGGTCTAAGTTAGGCTCTTGTTCAGGGTGAGGGTCTTGATGTGGATCAGGATCCTGGTTTGGGTTAGGGTCTTGTTCTGGCCATGGGTCTTGGTCTTGGTCAAGATCGTAGCATAGGTGAGGGTCATGGTCTGGATCAAGGTCTTGGTCTGGGTCAAGGTCTTGCTCTTGGTCAGGGTGCTGCTCTTCGTCAGGGTCTAGGTCTAGGTCAGGATCAGGGTCTGGGTGTTGGTGTGGGTCGGGGTCTGGGTCTTGATGCGGGTGAAGGTCTTTGTCTTGCTCTAGGTAGGTGCGGGTCATGGTCTTGCTTTCAGTCTAGGCGAGGGTCTAGGTCAGGATCATAGTGTGGGTCTATGTAATGGTGAGGGTCATGGTTAAGGTCAGGGTCTTGGTCTGGTCAGGGTCATGGTGTGGGTCTTGGTAAAGGTCGGGGACTTGGTTAAGGTCAGGGTCTTGGTTTGGGTCAGGGTCTTTATATCGATCATGGGGCAGGTCAGGTCTGGTTCTTGGTCGGGGTCAATGTCTTTCTCCCGGTTAAGGTCTTGGTCGCGCTCAGGGACAAGTTCCGAGTGGATGATCTCAGTTTGGGTCGGCTTGAAAATCGTGGTCTTAGACAGTGTCTGGGTCTGGGTGTGGGTTGAGGTCTCGGTTTCTGTCTGGGTCAGGGTTTGGGTCTGATTCAGGGTCAGGGTCTGGGTCCAAGTCTGGGTCATGGTCCGATTCCGGGTCAGGGTCTGGGTCTAGGTCTGAGTCGGGGTCAGGGTCACGGTCAGGGTCACAGTCAGGGTCAGGGTCAGGGTCAGGGTCAAGGTCTTCTTCCGAGTCTGAGTTCATGGGACCTTCTTTTGGGACTTCGGACTGCGGTTTTGGACGGGGACTTTAGATTCGGACTAGGAGATATAAGGTGAACGAGGACTCTTGACTGACAATCTCACCTAAGACCCTGCACTGGGACTCTTGATTGGGGCTCTGACTGTGACTCTGAATTACGACTCCAGACTGTAACTCTTGATCGGGACTCCACACTAGGTCTCTGGATTTGGACTTTGGATTGGTTTTCTGGAATGGTGCTTTGCACTGGGACTATGGATTGGGATTTTGCTTTGGTTTTCTGAAGTGGGACTTAGGATTGGGACTGTGGATCGAAATTTTTTCAATAACGTGTATAACGACACTTTGGAGAAAGGAAAAGAGAAAGTTGTGCATGATTATTGCGGGGGTGGTGAGGTGGAGGAAGTACAAAGGTGTAATGAGGAAAATTTGGCCACGGTGGACGACTCGGAATTCCAGGTGAAAGAAGATACGACAAATAGAAGAAGTGACAAAGAAGCAGTAAAAAATCAAAAATATAAATTCGCTTGACGAGGATAAAATATACGATATCATTTCTTCATCGGAAGGGGAGGATTGGGAGAAAGAAAAAATGAGCACAGAAAGAGAAAACGTGCAACAGGGAGTGAGGAGAAGCAGTAGTAGAAAAGGGAGGAAGGCGATTGCATTTCGGGAGCATACGAGGATTGATGAAAGGGTCAAAAAGGCAGATGGACGAAAAAGGAGAAGGACCGTTGGGGGAGATATGCGGAGAAGGGATGATTGTGAGAAGGTAAGAAGGAAAACCACAGCAGATGAGGACGGGGGGGTAGCAAAAGGGGATGGCGATGATTGTGGTGGTGTAGACAACAAGGAGGAGAAAGCGTCCACACCATTGCT